ATTTGTTTTTGTCTTGTAAAAACGTCTCAGTGCGTTTTGTACATGAGACATTTAAAGTCCTCCACATGTGGGTGAAATGCAACCATTTCATCCTCTCTTTTTCTTTTCTCCGGCTACCATATATCCGATGCAAGGAACAATGAAAAATATTCAGGCACAAATACACCCATCCATTTGCATTATTGGTATGTTCAGTAAAAAAAGCGGGTGGGGGTCTTTGAGCATCATCCTCCCATGAAACTCGATTGCATCCTCATATGTTGAACCACTGAAAAATATACTACTGCATTAATGACGTGACTATTCTAGTTCCTTTCCTTGTGTGAGATTGCTGTCTCACCTAGGTGAGAGGGTGTAAGGCAAGCCAGCTTACAGTTGTTTCACATCTACATATTTCATAGCTAGCATTAAAAATGACCCTTCACATAAGGTGGTTGAACTGCTGTGGCAGCTCTTATGTTACATCACTGTCAAAAATATTGGTCTTTAGCCAACGGTGCCTTGAGATACAAGAGAGCTGTGTTTTTTTCTTTGATTTGCTAGGGAAATTTGGAGAGTGCAGTTAACTCACTTCACAACACACAGCAGCTCGGCAAGGTGAATACATCTTCAAAAAAAACTGTTGAAACGCCACTCCCAGCTGAGTTGTAGTATCAAACTAGAAGTGCAATCAGTGATTGATTAATTGGCAAGTAATTGATTACCAAATTAACCGCTAATTATTTTTGAGAATTGATTAACTGATTAAAACATTTAGTTAACATTTGGTGACCAGTGTAACTTTTGTGATAATCAATCTCGCGTTTAACCTTGTTTAATTTAAAATTGTCCAAACCCTCAGAATTTCAACCTGTTAGCAGTAAATGTTTTGAGATTTCTGTCGTCCTCCGTGAAAGCAGATTGATTATCCTCGTATTGAATCAAAATAATCTGTTTGCAAACATCGGATTTTACTTTGGAAAACGTTTTCTGACATGTTACGGACCAAACCCGTAGCTGCATTGCATTTTACGCACTGTCCGTTTAAAATAATGTCCTGTTTGTGATTAAAGGGAGGGGGGGAGGGAGAATCACTTCAATTCTTCGATTAACTGGCAAGATAATTGACCGATGAATCAATCATTAAAATAACCTACACACAGACCACATAGCAATACTCACATGAATATACTCATATAATTGTAAAATGACGAATATTCCTGCAGCTGAGTCAGTAGTGAAACTCTTCTCCATGTGTGCCTCTGTCTGCATTATACAGCCATGCCAAATGGCCAAGGAACGCACACCAGAAGGAGCAGCACAATGTCCACTGAATTGAAGCAAAGAAAGAAAAAAAAAACTTTGTCATCCCTCGTGTCATAGCTAACAATGTTTACTTTTGACTGACACCGTCAGAGTGGCATTCATTTATAATGTGCTTCTCACTTTGGCCGTAATATGTGCAAACACCAATCATGCAAGCGGCGCAGTTGTACGTCTCTGCAAACTACAACCATAATAATACACACACATTGTCAACGTTGTCAGTAATAAAACTGTCGTTATCTTTGTGAAGGCAGAATTCTTTTTTTTTTTTTACACAGCTATCACTAGACCTCATTAGGAAGTGTAGGCGTACCTAATGAAGTGACCGGTGAGTGGAGCTACTCAGTGCAATGATCACAGAAACCTGCCACATGTCAACTATGTTTGCAGTAGCTGACGTTTACATGTGTCTGCATGTCAACAACGAGTGCATAAAGGCATCATCTTTGCGATAAACACAACTAAATAATGAAGGCGTCTTTCAAAATAAAATGACGCGCAGGAAACATATGCATTTTACAGCCGCTTCTGATGTACTTTTAAATGATTTTAATGAACAGCGAAGAGTCAGAGAACAAGAAAGGGAAAAGGAGATTGACAGTGGCTTTGCGTCTTTCTTCTGTGCCGGCAAATGCCGCCTGTGTGACAGTGACTGTCATTTGTAAAGGAACAATTGTGTCCTGCTCCGGCGGCTACATGACAATGATGAGAAGGAACACTGCAGTAGTTGTAAGGGTGAACTTAGAAGAATAGAAAAAAAAAAATCTCAAGCAGTTGGGTGCCTGAGCACCTTTCAGATAACTAACAGCCTGGCCAAGACATTTATTGGCTATATTGTAACCCGAACAACATCTGTGTGCCGCCTGTGTAAACATCATCAGGCCAAACAAAGCGGTCCTCTGTTTACCGCATCCATCGCCAGCCCGACTTGCCTTTCTGCCATGCTCAAAATCTGCTTTTCTGCACTTGCTTTCAATGACCATTGTGTTCATCAGTCTCTCACACACACACAGAAAAAAAGTTTCAAGCACAAACAGGGACTCTTCCATTAAAACTACAGCTGTCTGCCTTTTGCTGACAACACGGCACCCCATCCTCTCCACCCACCTTTTTCCCTGACATCAAACACAACTTCAGACCCGGTTCCCTAATGCACATGCTATTTTTAACTAAGTGTTTCTAATAAGCTGCTGGGAAGCTGTAAATTTTTCATATGCAAGCACATATTTCCTTTGTGAAAACACAGAAACACACTTATTTGGTGATTAGCGACTGACAGAGAGGAGGAAAGGAAGCCAATGCGCTTGTATCAAATTGCATGCCTTTCAAAAAAGGAAGAATCCTAATGCGAGGAGTCATCTTCCTGCGCACACCAGGTACGAGTGAATTATTAATCGGCTGGCTCATTTTAATGCTTTTTAAAGTGCTTTATTTTGATGTGCTAAAACATACTTTTAGCCATATTCAGTCAGGCATGCATATCATTATTCCTCCCATCAAAGAAGAGTGTCACCCTTTCAAAGAGCACAAACAACTCAGCCTCATTTAAAATAGAAAGTTCCAATATCAAAGACGTTTTACAAAGACCGGGCTTCAAACGCTGATGAAGTTCATTCGTTTCTTTTTGTTATTTTCCGGCACTTTATCAAAAAAAAAAAAAATAAATAAGTATGCAAAAAGGTCTGGATTCTTTTCCAGCTCTTAACCTAACGAGTGTAAATCAAAACAGCCGAAAAATTTGACAAGTGAGAGGTATCCAGGCTCGTTCGAGTGTTTGGTGTCACCATGATCAGAACTCTTCAAAACACCACCTACAACAGCACAATTGATTTTATGACACTGGCAGAAACAAAATGTGCTGGACTCTGCCTGGAGCCTATCCCATCTGACATCGGGCGGAGGGCGGACTACACCCCGAACTGGTCGCCAGTCAGTGGCAGTGCACACATAGAGATGAACAATCATACACACGCAATTTCACACCATCACCGAGTGGGAACCGATCCCAGGCTGCTTGCGCACAAGTCAAGCGAGTGTACCATTACACCATCGGCGACACCAGTTATGCATTGCAGCCATTCCACAGAAAAAAAGAAAAGCCGAACATTTTTGTAACTTTTTTAAGTAAGGAAAATGTAGTTTTGAAAAACATATAGTAATGACATAATAATAAACAATTTGGGAGATGTGATTATTTGAATTCAGCACTTTCTGCTGTTTGTGCCCTGGCCACCAGGCGGCATAACACATCCATCCATCGATCCATCCATTTTTTTTTAATATGCTTATTATGTGGGCGTGCTGCAACCTATACCAGCTGTCTTCGGACAGCAGGCGGAGTACACCTTAAACTGGTTGCCAGCCAATCGCAGGGCACACAGGGGCAACCAAGCATTCGCAATCACAGTCACACCTAGGGACAATTTAGAGTGTTCCGTTATAACCTGTCATGCATGTTTTTATGAATGTACGAGGAAACTGGAGTACCCGGAGAAAACCCACGCAGGCACGGGGAGAACATGAAAACTCCACACAAGTAGGCTGAAGCCGGAATCGAACATTGCACCTCTGCACCGTGAGGCTGGCATGCTAACCAGTTGACCACCATGCCGCCCATTTGTAGTTAGAATGTTTCAGAAAAAAAAGGTTTTACCTGTTGCTGAGCCTAACCCTTAATTCATAAACATTACAAAATATATCAGCGGATTACATATTCTTCTTGTTATTATAATTGTTAATTTTATTATTATTGTAGAAAAATGAGAGCAGATTCGTAATCGATGCACGAAATTCATCTAAACAAGTTTACTTGCATCTCTGATTAAAATATTTACAAAACCAATGTAATTATTTGGATAAGCAATTAAAGTTTTGAGAACTGTCCAAAAATTCAAGTCCTCAGAATTTCAGCCTCTCAACAGTTAATCAGCAGGAAACGAGACAAATGACTTTTTTGTTGAATCAAAAGGAATCATTTGCAACATCTTCTTTTACGTGGAAAAATAATGACATTTTTGCCTATTTTCTGACATGTTATGGACTAAACCAGGAACTGAATCTTAATTCATTTATGTTTAAGATATTTGATATTTGAAATAATGTCCTGGTTTTTGAATGAAAGGATGGAAATGAAAACATCTCTCTTTATTAAAAAGAATCTGATTGACAAAATAATTGACAGATTAACCGACTATTAAAAGAATGGCTTGTTGCAGTTCTAACTGTGAAAAAGTTGCAAAAGAAGAAAAGTTACATTTTGATTGCCCATTGACAGCTCCCAACAATAAAAGAACACAAATGGCTCTGAAGCACCACTCAAGTCAGCTGTTGTCACTAACCACAAGCCGTCCCACACATAAAACCCTCCTGATGGGATCCTATCCAAGCGAAGTGTGTGATCTTGGATTGTATGTGTGTGTTTTGCGTGAAGGGGGCGGTGCTAAACACACACGTGTTACAACTAGCACTTGTAGTCTGCCCCGATACAACGAGCTGTGTTCGCAACTGCTCTCACCGTGTTGTTGAAATATGCTTGAGTTAAACAAAAAAGGCCTTATGTGCAGCACTATTCAGGTGCAGGGCCCCCGTGTTAACCCTCTCGCAGCGTTCCCCCAAGTGTGTGTGTGTGTGTGTGTGTGTGTGTGTGTGTGCGTGTGTGTGTGTGTGTGTGTGTGTTTTGGAAATATTGGCCTTACCTGTCCCTTTGGTGAGCTCCTTTTCCCCCCCACTTTCTCTGTCTTTGGTTTGGTCCTCCTGGTCTGTGGTGGTCTCACTAGCAGCCTCCACATCCTCACTCAGCTCTCCTGAAGAGGGAGGGAGGATGGGAAATGTAAATCACCAAGCCATCAGAATTGGTGGAAGCACTTAAAGGGACGGCAGCGTTTTGTTTCTATAGGCGCTCGCAACAATTACATTTGCTGACACACGTTTACGAGGCTCACAAACAAAGAGGACACAATCTGCTTTCTGCTTTCACTATTCTGCCTCAATTGGAAATAGATTGAAGCAGTAAATACAAAAAAAATGTACTTGTATATAGAGTGTGTGGTTTTTTTTTGTCCAACATAATTTTACTTTGGTGTGAAGCATCCCGCAAGAGAAAAGCCAAAATACATTGAGTCCCCTGCTGCTAACTGCACATCACATCCTAGCCTATTACACACACACACACACACACACACACACACACACACACACACACACACACACCTATACATATATATATATATATATATATATATATATATATATATATATAAATCATAAAATAATATAAAATCATAAATATGTAAAACTCTCAGGGATGCAACTGTTCTTACTTTATTTCAAGTCAAAGGCAGAAATCCCCCCTGCAGCCATCTTACAAGCTTCCACTCGATATATCAGACCATTTAGTTTGCGTTGAAGTCCAAACAATGGATTTGCAATCATGACGTTTGGAAGTAACACACAAAGGGAAAAGACAGCGAAAACAGATGATAGTAAGACCATCAATCACTTTTATTTCCCTCCAGTGGGCCTTGAACATACCCCTTGCCTATAAAGTTAGTTTGAAAGTAGCGGGACCCTGCATGCAACTGCAACAGTAAACTAGGCCGTGTGGTCAATAGGCCTTATCAGTTATTACACAAGTCAGCTAATTCTCAGCAAATGTGCTTAAATGCTCTTTAGAAAATGCTTTCATGCTCAGGTCCCGACACTACGAGCTATTGACGTATTGACGATGTTACAAGAGCCATACTGAAATATCCTGTTCAAGTATTCAGCCCCGCAGCCATCACATGGCCAACCCGATTCAGCTCGCCACATGACTACCCGCAGCAAAAAACACTTTTATGATGTTAGAGTATCCCGGATGCTTGCTGTTTATCCCCTTCGCGGTCAAATCCTACGCACACACGCAAAGAGTTGACCGTGTCACGAATGCTTTGCCACACATACACATGTAGATTGTAAACACATGTTACATTGTGACACATTGTAAACACGTGTTAATTGTAATTTAAAAAAAAAATAGCACATGAAACAATTGGTCTGTATGATAGCTTTCCTTCCTCCTGTGATAAACCGCTACATGATGAGTGGATGAATGAGGTTGTTTGGCTTGTATATCAGAATCAGGAGCACCTTTCTTAAAAGTCAAAGGGCCATTTATCCGAAAATACTGTAATATTATATTGATGGATAGATAGAGAGAGAGAGAGAGAGAGAGAGAGAGAGAGAGAGAGAGAGAGAGAGAGAGAGAGAGAGAGGGACCTAAAAAGTAAATATTCCCTTTTCTTCAAAGGAAAACCCAAAATACAAACTAAAATAAAATGTAAGAACAAAAGAACAAAACACTACCCTTTTTAAATACTTCATTCATCCATCCATTTTCTGATCCGCTTGATCCTCACAAGGGTCGCAGGGCATGCTCAAGCCTATCCCAGCCATCTGCGGGCAGTAGGCGGGGGACACACTGAACCGGTTGCCAGCGAATCGCAGGGCACACACAGACGAACAACCATCAACGCTCACACTCACACTCACACCTTGGGACAATTTAGAGTGTTCAATCAGCCGGCCATGCATGTTTTTGGAATGTGGGAGGAAACCGGAGTACCCGGTGAAAACCCACGCGGGCACGGGGAGAACATGCAAACTCCACACAGGGAGGCCGAAGCCAGAATCGAACCCTGTACCTCTGCACTGTGAGGTCGACGTGCTGAACACTGGCTCACCGGGCCGCCCCTTTTTAAATACTGTATAATCACAAAGAACAACAATAAAGACGGAAATCTGTTGTGGGGATTCAGACTTAGTGTGTGCAAAAAGAAATATTGGTAAGTGAACACAAACACAGGCTAAACAACAAACAAATAATATCAATGAACGCTGTTAGCAAAATTCACACAGCTAACAGAGCACTTGCTGTATCATGCTCTGATTCTGAAAGACAAAATGTACAACTTTCAGTAGCCAAGTTGCTAATTAAACAACTTTTTCCGCTAAACTTCATGTCATCAGAATCATTTGTCGCCCCTTTGCAGGCACGCCCTCAGAAAAGCACTTGTGAGAAATAATTCAGCGGAACACTAAATATTATCGCTTTGAACTTTTATTCGTAGTGACAGAAGTGCATGACAAATCACTGGAAGCTGTTAAATCATGCCTTCTGTTTCTGATTGGTTGTTTTCCTTGGGCATGGTGGTTTCTTGCATATCAAATTTTTTTGGTTTTTTTTTTGTGTATTACTCTCAAATCCTAATGACTGATTCAAGAAATATGCTAGTTTTTTTTTTTTTTTCATTATCTGTTTCTTGAAACAGTACTTTTCCATTCAACATCATACAATGTTTCTGTTATGTTTCCAAAGCAAACCACAAAATCCATCCGGTGAAGCTCATCCCCAGCCGGTGACGCATATTTGAAATATTCCTTCACAACAAGACATTGTCAATTTTACCGGAATTAGGATACTGCGCAGCTGCACGGGTGCTCAGATTACAAAAATAATCCATACGTACATTTAAAGGGGGTGGGGGGTGGGGGGGGGGCTGTGCCTTTTTTTTTTTTTTTTTCCACAGTGATACTTGTAGTGGGACTAATTCTCCACCCACATTATTATACACTTTGCACACCATCTGATGTGCTTTAACATTGCAATGACAGATACTTCCTTTTCAATTTCCTGCACATAATGCTCACGTGATGCATGTTACCCTTTGGTTTTAATACATATACATACATATAAATCTAACTTTCAAGAGTTATGAATACTCAATTCTAATTGATACGATGTTAATTATCTTGTGTTTATTATAGTGGTGTGGAAAATAACTGCATCTCACTCTTCTTTAGCCACATCAGTCCTATATTACAACCATTTCTCATATCACGCAGGACGGTTCTACATGACTGTAGACTAAAACACAACTGTTTGTTTTGTTGATACTTAATATCTCTCTATTACCTGTGTAAAGGCAGAATTTTTACACAACAATCTGGGTCCACACAATCCAGAGCGACATCCATTATTCTTACTTTAAAAAAAAAAAAAAATCAATTTCAGTAGCAGCATTATGTATATATTTAAGTGGAAAATTAATTTACAAATGCCTCAACTCCAGTGGAAAAAAAGATGATTAAAGCCATGCAAACCATAATTAATGAAAGGTCAAAAGTGGCCTCAAGAGTAAAAAAAATGCAGTCCGAGAACAAATCAAACAGCAACACTCAAAGCTATGGCAGCGGGCCATTTGGAGCCCAAATTTGGCATATGCAAAGACCAATAGCCTAAAGGTTGTCTTGTAATTAATTGTCTTCATTAACCATCCTAATACAACGATAGGAAGCACTTCCATTAATCTAATCATGCAGGCTGAATAAACTCATGGCTGACACACAGATTACACTCATTTGTTCCAAGCAGACGAGGATCAGATTTGCTCTGCCACTCACTCAATGGGGACAGTCCACACAAACACACACACACACACACACACACACACACACACACACACACACACACACACACACACACCCTCCAGACATCCAGCAGCTTCCCTTGCTCTTGTGTGCGTGACGGCGGTGAGTGCAGGGGCTGAATCAGGCCCATAGGTGTCACTCTATACAAGCCGGGAGAACACACAAATGAGGTGCAAAGGGGGTGGGGGGGCAGTAAAAGAGAGAGTGAACGAGAGAGAGCGACAGAGGGAGAAAGAGAGAGAGGGGAGGGAAGAAAAAAACAGACGAAATGTTTGGTGATGACAAAAGCAGATGCTATGCAAAGGACGTCCGGTGAAGATGAGACTGAAAAAAAAAAACAAAAAACAAAAAACAATATTACCTTCATGATGAGCGGGAACAGCCTTGGTTTCCCCCACCCACACACACACAAGAGCAGTGATTACACTGACGCTAATCAGACTGACAAGCACAAACGTCCCTAATAAATAATTGATGGTAACCACTGCACTTTCCAGTATTCCTTCCCAGACTGTGGAGAAGAAGAGCAGCACGTAATAATAGTCAGTCTAAATATCTTTCACTAGGTCAGGCTCCTCCCTCCATGCTCTCGGCCTCGGCAGATGACACGGCCGTGATGCCGGCTGACTTTCTTGACAGAGCAAAGAAGCGCGGTCCTACCCTAGAAGGGCTGCGGCGCTTTCTAAAAACACTCCGCATGCTAAGCTGCATTTACAAAAGCGGCCCTGTTAGTTGTGTCTCATTACGATCAACGAGGCTGCGAGCTTTTTAACCTCACTGCTGTCTAACTCAGAGGTGAGCCTCCACTGCTTTATCCAGACCTCGACAGCTTCCTTTTTTTTTTCCCCTTTTTGCACTGCACGTCGGATCAAAAGTGATCTTATTTCACAGTTCATAGACCCTCTCTCTCTCTCGTTTTTTAAAATCCCCCCCTACGCATCCCCCAATCTCTCCATGATGCCTTGCAACCCTTTCCTCGTATCAAAGTTGTCCTAACTCCGGACAAGACGGTGCAAAATGGAAGTGACAGGAGGGGCAACGCAGGACAATGAGACACAGGCGCCATGCTGAGGGCTTTCATGCACTGCCTTGTCTCAGCACCTCTGCACCCTACATATGCAACATGACCACCGCTCCCTACATGCTTACATCCCCTCAGAAAAATTCTCTCTTTGTTATAATTATAATATTATAGGACAAAGTACGGCCAAATTTAAAAGAGCTAATATCGACCCTCGTTAAAAAAGAAAAAAGAAAAAAATCTTACACAATGGACAAATGTTTTGTAATGACGCAGCCCTTAAACAGCCAGTCAGGCGAGAACTTCATACGTCAT